CCTGGTTGGGGCAAAAATTAGGGAAGCTGTCAGTGATCAATCAAGTGCTGGCCATTTTGGGCTGATAACTACAGGAGTTGGTAGGTTTCTGGGATGGTTGCTGCAGACAGTGAGTTGATGTGGAGTAACATTTTACAGGTCACTGAGGGAAAAGGACAGCAGCTCAGCCCAAATCTCATTCAACCATCAAGAGGATGGAAAGATATTTGTGAATATGCACAGAAGCACAAATATGTTACCCATGCACAGCCTCTGAGGGATCACTTAAGAGTGAGCACTACCAAACAACAAAACAATCAGACCAAGACAGGGAAGATGAAGAAAAGGGGAATTTGTGACGAATAATTTATATAGTATAATTTATATAGTAATGTAAGTGAATAATGACAATGAAACTGGGAATTATAGCCCAAGTGTTAACTTAAGGATTCCTAAAATAGAAGAGCCATACTGCAAAGGAAAAGCAAATATTTATTGAAATGGAACAAAGTACCAACCTATCTCAGTGAAACCGAGGAACTAGGTAAGGGTGGAGGGGGCAGACATCAATATATTTTCAAGGTCTCAACTAGAAGTGAAGGATGTGGAAGTAAAAATATTCTATGAGTCTCATTTATTGAGGTATGATACAGAGGCAATGGGGGACTAAAGAGTCCAGAAGCGAGTAAAGGGCTGCAACTTGTCCTCACACATTGTTAAAGAAAAAGTGATAGTGAATGTCAGAAAAGGGAAGGTAATCATCAGTTAAACTGAAAAGAAGGTAAGCCTTAATACACTTTTCACATTAGTTAAATTGAAAAGAAAATGGTACAGGACATGACAGAAAAACATAATGAGTGGCAGAACTCAGTAGGCATTAGCAATAAAAACATTATTTTGGGAATGAAGACTCAACAAGAAGGAAACCAGGAGCAAATAAAAGTGTCAGATAATGCCTTAAGAGAAATAGGGTGAAAAGAAAATTAAAAATGTGAAAAAAGAAAAAGATTTTGAGGGAAGGTGACTAATATTAAGATAAAGAAGATCTAACATAAAGACAATAGTAGTTTCTGAGGAAAGAAACCGAAGGAATAGAGCAAAAAGAAAAATTGTAATTAAAGATATTATTGAAAAAATTGAAATGATCTATTGAAAGAGCACACTCTATACCTAAGAATATTGACCCAGAATGACCAACACAAGCACATAGTCTAGTAAAATTACTTGATGTTAAAGGGAAAAAAATTGGGGGGCATCTAGGCAAAAAGATGAGATGACCTATAAGGAAAAGAAAATTAGACTCTCATGAGATATTTTTCAGCAATGCTTTTGGTCACAAGAAAATGGAGCATCACACTTCAGATTCTCAAGAAAAGTGAGTCAAGATAATACAAAACTGATTTTCAAACATAAAAGGTACAAGATGTTTCCAACATTCAAGAACATTCAAAATTATGTTTTCCAGGAGCCCCTTCCTGAGAAACCTATTAAAGAACTAGCTTTAGCCAACTAAAATGACTAAGAAGTCTCAATATAAGAGATGATGGTGAGCATTAAATGTGTACTACTTACAGAACAAGACCAAAGGAGGATTAGGAGGAAGAAAGTATAGTTTGTCACAGCTGTATGTGCTCACAATAGAAGAGAGGAAATGGAAGAGTAGTAGGAAAATGTTGAATTCCTTCAGCAATCACATCGGGGATAGTATATTAGTATTGCTATTCTGAAGTTGTTGTGTGTACAATGTAGGATGAATGAATATGCTGCTTCTGTAATCTCCTATGTACTTGTGAACCAGGATTCTGGATGTGGAGGTAAGGAGATATGGAAGTAATACAGAATAGGTTAAGTAAAATCAACTATACTGGAATTTGAAGTATCAGAATGAACTCATGACTTATTTTATCCTCTCTCTCTCTATATATTTCCTAGTTCTGTCCTATGAAAAGGTCCCAAAATGACCAAGACAGTAGCAATGAACATCCCTAGCACTCAGATTGTTATCTGTAAATATCATTCCTAAAAAGAACTAAAGGAACAAGGGCTTCTTGGAGAAACAGCTGATTCTGGGTCTAGGCTAGGAAACACACAAGGTGACTCTAGAATAATTTTGTCACATAGCACTAGCAACATGTGGAACAAATGTAGAGTAAGGACTGATGCTCAGAAAACAGCAGAATATATGCAATCACCTATGCTCTTTTTTTATTTCTATAGCAAGGCATATTTGAGCTGGGCACATGGGACACAGAGTGGAAAATGCACCAGGAAAAGGACCCCAGGATGACTCCCTCTGCATATTTGTAGGGAAATTGTGAGGGGTTAGAGACCAGGTTTTATATCTGATTATATAAAAGTGGGAGTTTCCTAGCCAGGGAAATGGCTTTAATAGGCAAGAGTTTAGTGAGAGAACTCATCTATCTAGTGATGTGGACATCTAAGCTAGAGCAATGCTACCCAAACTTTAATGTGCAAAAATTACTAGATGGATTTTGATAATATGACAGTTTTGACTCAGTAAGTAGGGGCTGGGACCTAAGGTTTTGCATAGTAAAACAGAATTAGAATTTCTTAATTCAAACAAGCCTAGCTAACTTCTTGCTGCTAAGCAACTGAAAAGAGAGAATAAGTTTCCAGTACCAGGCTTGTTTGTTTTTCCACCCCGCTGTAAGTAAAACCTAAAAATACATAGATTCTTTTAGCGGTTGAGCGGGATTACCCCTGAGCAGTCTGGAAAAGGGAGGCCTTGTCATGTCAAAAAGTTTAGTCAAATTGCTGATTACAATAAGCAGGAAGGCAGACAACTTCTCTACCTAGCTTGTAGCTCTAGTGGAGGTATATGGGAAGAGACAGTTTGTATGTTTGGTTGCTTCTTTCTGCTTTCAGCAAGGTATTACAAATAAAGCTCAAAGTCAGAGTAAAAAGTAAATAGAACAGCTGGTAATTCTTGGGCTTCACTAAGTTGAAAAAGACAACTGCTTATGTACCCCTAAATAGCAGAAGAGATTTTGGGCTTTCTCATAGCCCATTAAGATTTTTTGGCAAACACAAATGGGCAAAAAAAACAACAACAGAAAACAAAGATAAACTGAAGCAAAAATCAAATTAATAGAGTTCCCTTCTCACTTAAGCCTATTGTTTCAGATAACCTCAAGACTGTCATCATTAAAAAGAAGATGTTAAGAAAGGTTTGAGTGTGGAAGCCAGGAAATAGGCCACATTTAACAACTATTTCTGGAAACAACTGTGGGCGTGGTTACTGGCACCTGAAACTGTCTGGAAGCAGAGTTTACTGAATATTCAATGAAATTACATTTAAAAAAAACAACAAAAACAAAACACTGAAACACCTGGCCTACAAAAGCTCTCAATCCAAGTCCAAAGGCATTCCTCCAAAGAGGGAATACTCTCCAAAATCCAGTTAACTTGCATTCCTAGGGCAAAACTGGGGCCCAGAGTACAATGGACAATGGAGATCCTCTCAAAGAGCAGAATGAGGGTCTAACCAAGGAACTTACTCCCTACAAGGTATTGAGTATTCCTAATTCCTGCCCAGGGTTCCATCATTGCTATGGAGAAGTAACTGCTATGTGTTTCACATTCTAATTTTTTTGAGTTTTAACTGTGGTTATCCTGTTCCTGTTCCACGGTTGTTTTGTATTACATGTACAGGCATGAGCAGATAATTTGTTTTACAGTGTATATGACTCTGGGCCATGAAAAGACATATCCCAATCTGATGGAGAGGGTTGTGCATCATCGGACATCCTGCTTTTTGAGCTGATACAGAAACTGAATAGGGAATTGATCTCTGTTCTTTGGGGGTAAGAGTGTTCTACTGTAAGAAGGATACACTCAGATATTTAGGTGATCAGGGAGACAGATTATAGTAGAGACTACTGACTGTCCCTTTAAACCCATCCTTTTCTTTTTCTTAGGCAAAGGGCTGCTGGACTGGAAACCAAATTTCCAGCCTCACTGTTGCTAGGCCTGGTCATGTGACTAAGTTCTTGCCAACGGATTGGTATCAGAATTGATGTAAGCAATCTCCACATTACTTTCTTAAAGAATGTCCTTGTTCTAGTCTTCTCTCCTTTCCCTTTTCCAATAGAAGGGACATTCTATTTATCACACACCATGAGGACAAAATTCAAGTTTGATATCCTTTGTAGGCAAGGCTGTAGAAAATGGCACTTCTACATATTGTTGGTAGGAACTTCTTTACTGCAGCACTGGTTGATTGATTAAAAACAATTTAAGTGTCTGGTTAGAAAGATTAAATAAACTATGACCATCCCCTCATTATATGCAATACTCTCCAGTTCAAAAAAAAAAAAAAAAAATGATGAGGAAGCTCTCTGGATATACATGGTAAGATCTCCAAAAAAAGTGAAAAAAACCAAGGGGAATAATGATATGGTGTGTTATCTTCTATGAAAAAAAGAAAGGATAACAATTTACATTTATGTGCGTAAAGAAATTCCATGAGGATACATGAGTAATGAATACAATTACATATAAAGGTAGGTGACCATATAATTTATCATCCAGATAGAACAGTTTCTAGAGTGAAAGGGGGTGTTATTAATAATCACTCCAGGACAACAGACGGAAAATGGCATCATCCGGGACAAACTGGGATGCATGATCAACCTATATAAAGGGTACAAAGTCAGAGGAGAAATATGTCCTTTTTTACTGTATTTTACAACAGTACCAGTCTGTGGTGCATTGGACATAAAAGCAATTCGTTTTTAACACACGAAGTTTAAGGGCTGTCTTAACTAGGAACAACAGTAAACCACGTAAGTGAGACACGGAACTTAATGACGACGCGGCAATTTCGGGTACCCGGCACTTACTGGAGTTGCACAAGCAACACACGCCTTGGACTTCATCCGCCAATCCTAAGTGGGAGCGCGCGAGCCTGAGCCTGTGGGAGAATCCTGGGCGGGCCTCGGACGTGAGTGGAGCTTCGCGTCACTCAACTCTGGGGACGGACCTTGCGCAGGCTCTCACACCCGGCGCTCTGGCCCACACAGTCGGTACTCTATGGCATCTCGGGTTCCCTCTAGCTGCAGTCTGGAGGACTACACTCGTTTTCTTTTCGGCTGTGCGAGGCCCGGCAGCCTCTGCTGAGCTGGAAGAAAGATGGCGGCAGCCGTGCGGCAGGATTTGGCCCAACTCATGAATTCGAGTGGCTCTCATAAAGATCTTGCGGGCAAGTGAGTATTTCCCAGGGCCCTGGGAGGTCGGCAGGGAAGCCATAGACCTGTTCTTGTGTTGACGGCGGCTTTGGGATGTGATACGGCCTGACGACCAAGGGGGCGGGCCTGAGGTCGTTTGTAGACGCAAAAATTGGGAGCAGCAGAAAGCCGGTGCAGGGAACCCTGGCGGGGGGGCGGGGGGGGGCAGACTTGGGGTGACTGTCAACTTGTTCTGTCTTTGATAGCATCCTTACCTGTTAAGATTCTGGAAGCATGGTCTGAGGGACGACTGCTCCCACGGCCTTCTTTTCCTTCCCTGGTGCCTCTTTCCATCCCTGGCTGTCCTCTCACACCGAATTCTGGTTTCTCTTTGGGCCTTTTTTTTTTTTTTTTAATTGACTGAGGGAAATGTATATTCTGGGACCTCGATGCAGGGTTTTCTGGGAGATGGCTTCTAGAGGCTGACGGGGGTGAGGAGGTATGGCCGCTATCATGTCGTTCAGAACCACCCGGACCATCTTCTGTGAGTCCTTGTGTTTTGGGTTCTCTCTCCGCCACCAACTCTGAAGAGGGGCACATAAGCGGAACGCCCTCACAACGTGAGTCAGGATGTCTAGATTAGTGATATTTGCAGGAATCTGAATTGTTTAGGAATTTTGCGGAATTTACGTTGAAGGGTTAGAGCCACTCCACGTTAAAATTTGTGACATGTGCCTGTCATGCAAGCAGTTACAATAGTGTTAATCGTAGGTAGGTAGGTAGATAGATAATTGTCCGTTTTCTTTTTGTAGATTATACAGCACTGTTCTTTTGTAATGAACTTGAATTCTGTTTAAAGTATGCGTCTCAAGTTGATGGTAATATTTACATCCTGACAGCTGAGATCATGTTGATCTACATAAATGGGATACACCTGCTCTAACCTGGCCATTGAAACCTTGGCTGTGTTTTATGAAAACTCTGCTATCTTTTCTCTGGTGGCACATGTAATCTAGTTTTATCAGTGGGAAATCTAGCTGTGTATCTTGGATTTAGCTACTATATACTGCAGTTTCCTTCTCATGAAAATGGGGATAATAGGACTTATTCTTGTCTGAGGACAAAATGAGTATGTGTGTGTATATACATTTATATCACACATGTTGCTTAGAACAGTGTGACATTTAGTGCCACAAAATTGTCTTTGTTGCTATTATTATTATAAAGCAGTTAGTAAGTACATATAATGACTTATTCCATGGATTGTAAATAAGGTGAATGTGTCTTCTACTCCATAGAGTACCGACTGTCTTCATTCATGGTTTAATCCTTTCTGCATGTAATTTTTAGATTTGGATGAAAGTAAAATGATCATATATTTTTCCCCATGCTCAGCTTATATTTCCCCCCACGCTTTGCTTTCTTTTTTGTTTTGTTGAAGAAAATGAAGTACATTCTTTATCAGAAGAGATATAGTTTTTCAAGTGTTTGCAGAATTCTGAAACTTAAGCTAAGAATTTACTTCCTCAGCTGTGAATTGCAGGTAAACAATAGTACCTATCTTATAGGGTACTTTAGTTATGTATTACTATGTTACAAACCAAAAACTTAGTGGTGTAAAACAACTATTATTTTTCAGGATTCTTTGGGTTGACTGGACTGTTCTGCTGGTCTAAGCCGGGCTTACTCATGCAGGTGCAGAGTCAGCTGGCAGCTCATTTGGGGCTGGTGGAGCTAAAATGCGCTCACATATACATCAGGCTGCTGGCTGATTCTGTCTCTCCACATGGTCTCTCATTCAGTAGTTCCTTATAGGGCCATAGAAGTGTTCCAAAAGGGTTAGAGTGAAAGCTGCCACACTTAAGGCTAGCTGTGGAAATCTCATAATGTCAGTTCTCTAAAACAGGTCAAAGTAAATCACAAGACCAGCCCAGATTCAAGGGAAGGAAAAATGGAGTCTACCTCTTTCTGGGAGGAGTGGCCAGGTTACATTAGAAAGGGCATGGACAGATGGGGCATGATTCATTGGAGGCCATTATTGTAATAGTCTATCACCTGAGATTGTTGTGCTTGATAACTGATAGGGCTTTCTTTTTTTTTTTTAATGTTTTATTTATTTATTCATGAGAGTCAGAGAGAGACAGAGAGAGAGGCAGAGGCAGAGGGAGAAGCAGGCTCCCCGCCTTGCAGGGAGCCCGATGCGGGATTCGATTCCAGGACCCTAGGATCGTGACCTGAGCCAAAGGCAGACATTCAACCATCTGAGCCACCCAGGTGCCCCTAGCCAGGGCTTTCTGAGGAAAGTCTTGGTCTTGCCTACAGGTACATATCTGGTCCTATCTCTACAGGAATGTGTTGGGATATTTATTTTCATAACAAAACAGTTCTGCCAGCTACATGTCTATGAGGAAAGCACTCTTGAAATATATCAGTAGTTTTAGGATTTATGTTAGGAGTTGGGTGACAAAGCAGTCCATATAAAGGGATAGCAGAGTAAATTCATTTCTAAAATATTGATACTGTGTGTTTCCAGCAATTAGCAGAATATTTATAACAGAGCAGTCATTTAATAAGTGTTAGTTGAATCGATGAATAGCTAGAAAGGTGCAGAGCTTATATTTGAACCCAGGTTTTTCTACTCTATAAAGCTTATTTTTAACCTATCAGCCTGCTTTTCTTGCCCAAACTTCAATTAGAAATGCTTTCTCATAACTGTGAATTAACACAATAATCTAAAGTGGACATAAGAAATTGGCCGTATAAGATGCATTTTTGCAAATTTTATAAACTACTTTTGTATATATTATGCATTATTATCATTATCTCATACAAAACTTTAGAAGAGAGGAGAGCCTTGAAGAGGGACCATTTGAATAGGTAGCTGTTACGATAGCCTGTCTAAATTTCTTGGCTAAAACGTACTCAGTTCTTTGAAACTCAGTTGAGATATTATTTCTTCCAAAAAGCCTTTTCTGAACAGCCACCAACACACACTCATAAATACTCACACACACAGGACCTGGTTTGTTGCTCTTATGCCCAGTGGCAGATTGTATTTACCTCTACCATAGCACTTAATTGTTTTAATTGTCTGTTTACTTGTCTGCTTTTCCAATTAGAATGCGATCTCTTTGAGGGCAGGTATGATGTTATGGATTATAGTCTTTGTTGAGTTATTTCTATAGAAATAAGACCTTTTTTTTTGTCTTCCCACTTCTCAGTATAGAAGGTACCCAGAAGAGGATAGCAGGCCTTTGGAGTCTAAACATTTCATTTTACAAGAAGCTGTTAGCATAGAGAAAAGAGAGTAATGGGAGACCTTTTAGCTCTCTTTGACTATTAGAAAGGCTGTTTTACAGGGGTGCCTGGATGGCTCAGACCTCAGCCTTCAGCTCAGGTCATAATCTCAGGATCCTCCCTTCTCAGTGGGGAACCTGCTTCTCCCTCTTCCGCTCCCTCTGCTTGTGCTCGCTCTCTTTATCAAATAAATAAATAAAATCTTTAAAAAGAAGGCTGTTTTGCAGAAAAGAAAATAGACTCCTCTGCCTTACAGAGGTAGACTTTGGATTAGAACTTTCTAATAATAGAATGGAATAGAACTGTCAAAAAATGGAGGACACATACACACCAGAGGATAAGACTATATAATCTCAAGGGCCCCTTATAACTCAGATTCTCTGGTTCTCTGTTATTCCCACACACAAGTTTTAGTGGTTCCCATCTCAAGAGTGAAGTTCCCTAACATCTGGTGTTTACCATGTGCCAAGCACATCTTTATTTACATTTTTTAATCCTTAATGAGTAAAATTTACATTACATATGAGAAAACTGAAGTACAGAGGTGAAATACCTTGCTTGAGGTCACATAGCTTGTGGCAAGGCCATAATACAACCTATCTGCTTGGTTCAGAGCCCTGAATTCTAAACACATCTACCTTTTGGCCTTATATTATCTTCTCCCAACTAGATTACATTTCAGATAGTGATTTTTTTTTTTTTTGGCCTAGAATACCTGTCTTCCTCCACTCTTTCCCACTTAACACTACATTGAAATATTTAAAATGCTTAAAGATCAACCTCATTTAGGGAATTATTTCTTTTTTTAACATTTTAAATTTTAATTAAAATTAAAATATGCTGAGAAGTCAGTTGTTAGTCTTACCGAGATTCTCTTACATATTATCAGTCATTTTCTTTTAAAAAATTTTTTTATTTAAATTCAATTTAGTTAACATATAGTTATTATTAGCTTCAGGGGTAGAATTCAGTCATTCATCAATTGCATATAACACCCAGTGCTCATGCCTTCAAGTACCCTCTTTACTACCCATCATCCAATTACCCCATCCTCCCCACCCACCTCCCCTCCAGCAACCCTCAGTTTGTTTCTTATAGTTAGGAGTCTCATGGTTTGCCTCCTTCTCTATTTTTATCTTATTTTTCCTTCCCTTCCCCTATGTTCATCTTTTTTGTTTCTTAAATTCCACATATTAGTGAAATCATATATTTGTCTTTCTCTGACCGACTTACTTCACTTAACAAAGTACACTCTAGTTCCATCCATGTGGTCGCAAATGGCAAGATTTCATTCTTTTTGACAACTGAGTAATATTCCATTTTGTGTGTATGTGTGTATATACACGACATCTTCTTTATCCATTCATCTGCTGATGGGTTCTTTCCATAGTTTGGCTATTGTGGACATTGCTGCTATAAACATTGGGGTGCATGTGCTCTTTCGAGTCACTATTTTTGTATCCTTTGGGTAAATAAATACCTAACTAGTGCAATTGTTGAGTCCTGGAGTAGTTCTATTTTTGACTTTTTGAGGAAACGCCATACTATTTTCCAGATTGGCTGTATTCCCACGAACAGTGTAAGACAGTTCCCTTTTCTCTGCATCCTCGCCAACATGTGTTGTTTCCTGAGTGGTTAATTTTAGTCATTCTGAGTGGTGTGAAGTGGTATCTCATTGTGGTTTTGATTTTTAAGGAAATTACAAATTGTTTAATTTTCTGAAACTTCTTTGTGATGTGTCT